CACAATGACTACATCGGTTTTATTGTCCCGCAGAGGAGACACAACAATCCACTGTTCTCCTAATAATCCCTCCTACCCCCAGCTTTAATGAAACGGAGGATGAAGCAGATGAATGACAGAAGAGTCTGTGTGTGTGTTTGTGTGTGTGTTCATGCATGCGTGTGAGTGATGAATGCATGTGTGTGATAGTATCAGCAGCGTTCATGTGGAGAGATACTGATGAGAATGAGGAATGTTAACAGTGATGTTCTTGTCCATGCAGAACAGAACAACACACACGCACCCGCGCGTGCGCGCGCGCGCACACACACACACTTTGACAAAGACTGTGTTGAGGGAAGAGAGGAAATATTTTTGCTGGTTTTCTTTTGCAGCATTTCACATCAAGCCATCTCTGCAGCACTTTTAGTTTAGGAACTACGTAGACTTAGTTAACTGGCCTTCAATAACTCGGTTAAGTTAAATAGGCAGTAGTTGAAAAGGAAAAGGAAAAGCATAAATGTTAGCCATACATTGCGTTAACAACTGTTAACAATAGATAAAGATGAATTAGTCAAAACTATTCTGAAAGACATAAACCGAATGGGACTCAGACATTGTTTGTTGACACCGGTGTCTTTTTTTTTTTGGTCATTTCTGGAAATGATCAGAAAATGTGGAAATTTGTTTTTAAAAAACTGAAGGAACCTTTTTATTCCGTTTATCGCCATGAAAACTGTTTTTGTTAACTATTCCTTGTGAGCCCCGGGGTGAGTGTTTTATTAAGGGATGAAATGTTGCCATCTTCAGGCCAAAACGTGTATCAACATCAAGTACTTTTGTAAAGGTTTTTTTCTATTGGTTTTCCACAATTTACTTGGTAAATAAAAAGGAGATTTAATTTAAATAAAATGAGTTTCATGTTAAATTAAGGGGTTTTTTTTTCTCTTTTAAATTTAAAGTTTTCAAAATCTTTCATGCCATGTATGAAAACCTGGCCTAAAGGAGATCACAATTAATTGGCCCTATGCTAACACTTGTACTAAATCACCAATTTTGAAAGTCCTCAAAGACATTTAACACCAAGTCGAAGTTCTATCCTATTCATAATACTATACATTACAATAATATACCACATTTTCCTACTTTTTGAACTTTGGAACATTCCTTTTTCATTTAATTTATGATCCTACTGCTGGCTAATTATTAATTAGCATTTCCCTGCTGTATCTCTACTGTATATGTGACCATGTTTTTTTGCTCAATAATTTCTGGGTTTGGCTGCAGCATCTCTGTGACCCTGAAGGGGAAGAAGGTCAGCGATTGAATAAAAATAATGAACTGTCAGTCACACTGCTTTCTATGGTCAGTTTGTGTCATTGTCACACAGAAATTCTGTTTCAGTGCAATTTCAACCTCAATGTAGCCTCCACATACAACAGTCACCACACACTGTATTTGAGCAATTTATAGAATTGAAATGTATCCAATAGTGAATGCATAACAGTATACAATACTGCATGGATCTTTCCACGAAAAAATAAAACAACAACAACTATTACTAGGTACAAACATATGGTATTGTAAATATTAAAATACAAATATTTTACCTTGCTGTTTAACGTAATACATAAAAAAGATCTCCTAAACCGCTTAAAACAAACACAGAAAAGCTCAAAACCAATAAAACCAAAACAATAATTCTATAAACGCTGGTCAAAAACAGATCGGTTCTTTGGAACGGGCATTTATTTGCAGCGTTTGTCGCCCCCTCTCGTTCACGCCGTGAGAATTATATTTACAAAACAGTTCAAAAAAATATGAATTATCTATTACATAGAATATTGTATAAAATAAAGGAGGTAAAAATGTAATTTAATATAAAGAGATTATTATGAATAATTAAAATATGTTCTTGGTTATTTGTCATGAAACAAGTTCTTAAGGGAAAAATTCAACTTCAAATCTCTTCCGGTTTCTGTCTAGGCTTCGGACAGTAACATATATATATATATATATATATATATATATAAAACTTCACTTTAAAAAAACATGGTCTATTCTATTACATTATTTTAAATCAAACAATTGTAACCTTTATAATCAATTAACAATGTATTCATCACGTATTATGAACTTCACTGTCGTTTATCGTGTCAACAACACTCTCTTTCTCTCGAAGTATATATATATCCTTCTCCCCTTTGTCCTCCACCTCCTTTCTCCCCTCCTCTTTAACTCCCATTGCTTTTCTTTCGTTTTCGTTTCCCGGAAGAGTTGGATGTGAAAGTTTTGCTTCTTCTTTTGTCCAAATCTCATTTTCACTTTTAAAACGAACTTTTTTCCTTACACGCATGATCTACTTTGTGGGATTTCACTCCTATCCTGTGCTTCATTTCTATTCTGAGCGTTACCTTGTGTACCGGGTCTTTTCGTAAGGTTACAGGTAAGTGAACGCAAAAAAAAAAAAAAGAAAAGAGAAAGGACAACATCGCAACATACGTACAAATTTACGTCCGAATATATCTTTCATTAGGAAAGTATGAATGCGCGATGAATATAAAAAAAGATTTAAAAAAAAACAAACGTATAAGACATGCAAGCCTTAGTAAACTAGCTCAGTGAAAATACAGGAATATATAGGAAAAAAAATGTGTGTGTGTGTGTGTTTCTGTGTGTAGCCTCATGTCTACAGGACAGACAGTTGCTCCTCTACAACAGGAAGATCTCTTGGATTTACCTGGGAGACTGAGTGAGTCTGTTTGAGCACAAACACCAGTAGATTCTCTCTGATTCTTGCAGTCGTTAAATCACGTATATTATTATATTGTACCATTTCTCAAGTAAGTTCAAATCTGTTATTTTGTTTTTGCGGAAAAAAAAAAAAGAAGTGACATAATAAAAGTGAGAGAGTGAGTTTCATTTCTATCCTTTTCCTTTGTATTTATTTTATTTAAACGTTTAATGATTCGGTTATTTTCTACTTCTTTTACATATTCTGATTTTTTTTTTTTTTTTTTTTTACGTTGCATTAAACAGGGATAAATCCATGTCTGTGGGACAAAGAAGACGTGACTCACTGGCTCCACTGGGCTCACAAGGAATATTCCCTGAAACGACTGGAGAAGGGATGTTTCGAGATGAACGGTCGAGCCCTGTGTCTGCTCACCAAAGAGGATTTCAGACTCCGCAGCCCAAACTCGGGTAAAACTAAGGATCACATGGCCAAAAAACAAAGGTTTTATGTCTGAAATTTTTTTTTTATCTGATATGTTTTTTTTTTTCTTCTTTGTTGCACAGGGGATGTTCTGTATGAAATTCTTCAATGTGTAAAACATTACAGGAGCGGCCCTCTCAGTCCCACACAAAATGTCTCCGTTCCAAAAACTGTCCAGGGTCAGGGTCAGAATCCAGTCAGCTACCAGTTCAAGACTTCTAACATCATAATCAAACCCCAGCCGACAACAGTTGCAGACACGAAGGGTGAGTGAAGTTGGAAAGCTATTTTTAGATGTTATGGCGTGGCTGAATTAGGGACTACTGACCCCAAAAAAAAAAAAAAAAAACAAACAAAAAAAAAGCCTGGAACACAAAGGTTTTAAAGTAAAAATGAGCGGTGTACTTTAAACCATATATACAAGAAGATGGCAGATGAAATCAATGGGTTTTGCTGATGGGGACACAAAAGCCGCTGGTCCACTGCTCCCTCCTGTGGTCAGTTTTTGTCCTAACTTAAACCACTATTTTCATTTATTTTTTATTTTAACAGATAATAACAGATATTTTTACTTCCAGAGTTAGGTTTCAGGTAAGAAACTGTCAGTTCATGGTAGGTCTTGGTCGACTGAAGCCATGAAATTTCGACTAAAATCGACTAATTGCCGGTGCTACCTGGTAGCCTTGTCTGCCTAAGAATCATAAGGACTAGTAGTCTATTTGCTTTATATCAAATTGGTTTCGACCTAATTATTTTTGCACACTTGTGTCTTTTGTACGGAGCCCCTAAAGGGACATGGGGGGGGAAAGGGCGGGAAACGTATCTCGTGCGCACGAGAAAGTATATCTAAGACATTTTGCCACACATACATACTGGGTACTACATTAAAAAAAACGTACGGTTGGGAAATCTAAGATACCGGAAATGCATGCGTGATGTACTGTATATATGGTGAGCATTTAGTTAATGTAGGATACCTCAGTTCGACACAGGAGGGCACTGTTGCTGTTGTTGTTGTTGATCATCCTCATCCTTCATCCTCCTCATCCTTGTGAGAGTACGCATACTAATAACAATCGCGTCCACTGAGCCCAATATTTGTAAAATCCCAGCATGCCTCAAGCCAAGCATAAAGTACAATTCAACTGAATGAATCTGAATTTTATTTATAGACCGCATTTCATGCACAAACGCAAACTCAGTGAGCTTCACAGACATTACGTAATTACGTGAAAGTTGTCACGAAATACACTGGTCCATCTCCTATCGCAGTCGTTGAGATAGGAGGGCACAACAACAGTGCCCTCCTGTGTCGAACTGAGGTATCCTACATAGATATATGGTATATTTTACATTAAATGCTCACCATATATCTTAGATTTCCCAACCGTACGTTCTGTACATGATTGTTTGTTATTTTGATGTATTACCCTGTATGTATGTGTGTGGCAAAATGTCTTAGATATCGTTTCGTTTTTTTCTTTTTTCCCCCCACATGTCACTTTAGGGGCTCCGTACAAATCAGATCAAGAAGAGTGCAGAAAAGGAAATAAGTTGAAAAATGATTACGGGATGCTCTAAAAACACACCCCATTGGCACTTGGTACATTTCTCCGAATGAAATTACCAAGAAATATATATATATAGTTATATTGTTATATTGTTATATAACAACATAAAAAAAATCGACAAGTCGACTGGGAGATTACAGCCCTGGTTCAAAGTTTCAAAATCTATGACAGTGGATTTTATTTCAGACCAAACCTGTTTGTCTCAGTACATTACTGTTATATACTTCCTCCTAAGTCACGTGTACACAACGAGAACACATTGTGCAGGAACATACTGTATCTTTGTAACTAACGCTAATTTCTTCTGTCTCTTACTTATCACAAAACATGTTGCGGTAATAAAACGCTTCCTGGTCGTAAATATGACAAGAGTTTAGATCTATTTCAGAAGCCATAAAATAACGACACAATCCTCTTTTTCTTTCACTTTTGCTCTGACTTGCACTGCATTTCTGGCACTATTTCAGCGTTGTCAGCTGTTGTCAATATATTCTATTATTGTATTATTGTAAGGTTAAAAAAACAAACAAACAAAAAAAAAAACAACCCCAGAGTCTATATACATGTGGTTCATGCTGTTTAAAGTGTTTACTGTCCACTTGTCTGTCTCTCAGGTGTCTCTACCATGTCCCGCACTCAGACCCAAAGCTGCATTCAGGAGCCTCTGAATCTGTCCAACGGAGGCCCCCGCCAGAGCGATCTGCAAATAGCTGACGGTCGAATTCCAGGTTCAGATTTTTTTTTGTGTGTGTGTTATTACTTCATCTGAAAAAAACAAAAACAAAAAAACAACTAATTGACTGTCAGCTTTTTTTTTCTATCACTTTTCATTCATGCTAGATAAGGTGTTTTAGGAGTGGCCAATGTCATTAAAACTCACACACACACGGACAGGTCCATAAAGAGCAGACAAAGAAATAGGTTTAAAAAAAATAAAAAAAATTTTTTAAAAAAATATTCTGTAAATTTCCCTTACAAAAAATGAATAATTAAAATTAATTCGAAACTATAAAAAAATACAACAAAATATAATATTTACGTCTTTAGAGAGCAAACTTCTGTGGGATTACGTTTACCAACTGCTCTGTGACCAACGCTATCGGGACTACATTCGCTGGGAGGACCAGGACAGTCTGGTATTCAGGGTAGTCGACCCAAACGGGCTGGCCAAACTGTGGGGACGCCACAAGGTAAGGATTCAGGTGACCACCAGAGGTCAGTGTGATTTGGTGCGTTTGACAGGAAGTGATTGTTAGACCTCGCTCTCTTTCAATCATTTTGAGGCCTAGACACGAGCAATTAGGATAACCTGCCACCTGTCAATCATATGCTGTGTCCAAGCCTAGCGGCTGGTGACTCGATAGTGAATAATGTTTGCGTGTACGTGTTTGTTTGGATGACTATGTGTTTCATTTTGTGTTGATTTTAACAGAATAGAAAACACATGACGTATGAGAAAATGTCTCGCGCTCTGCGTCACTACTACAAACTCAACATCATCAAAAAAGAACAAGGACAAAAACTACTCTTCAGGTTGGTTTGTTTCGTTTCTTCTTCTTCTTCTGTCTGACTTAACTTGTCATTCTGGCTAACTTTTAGTTGCCTTTTTAATAACAACTAAATATTTACGTCCTCCGTTTCATCTTTAGATTCCTAAAACTTCCTCACGACATCAAGAAACTACAGCTGGATCTGCCGGAGTCGCCAGGATGCAGTCCACCTCGGGACCAGGATTTCCAAGAGACCAGTTTCACTGAGGAATACAGCCAAGACCGAATTGAGGTTTCTGCTGGTCGCATTTCCCCAAAACGTGCTCTAGATGGAGCTGTTGTCAGATAGAAACCGCCTTTACGCGTTCTACAAATAACTTTGAATTTTGTATTATTAAAAATATATAGATACGCCATATAGAAAAAGCATAGAGTTGGCAAATGAGTTTATTATTAGCTTCGAACACAAATGCTTAATTAAATGTATATGACGAAGAGGTTTCTGTGATATTTCTAAATATTGACAGGACATGAGCTAATTCGGAGATTTTTTTTTATTCCTAACTTGATCATCTTGTGTCTGCGTGTAAAAACAGTAAATAGTAAACATATAAAAAAAAATCGCTGGTTTATATTAAAGAGTTTTTTTTTCCTGTAATAATTTATTCTGTTAGAGTTAGACACCGAGTCAGTCGTGATCAGAGCAAACCCTTAAGAAAAGCCAAAACGGATATCACTTCATAACAATCACAACAATCGTCAAGTTTCAGCAAGAGGACACAATTAGTTTATTCTGTCAATGCCAAAAAAATAAAATAAAAAAATCTCCATGTTTAGAGAGGTACTTTTTGCCCAGCAAAGATCATAGTTTTATTCTTCTGTCTTTTTGTTTTTGTAGATTTTTATTCTATATAATGAACTAGCATGACATTTAGAAGGTGACAAAGGTGGAAAATTATAATTATAATTAAATATTATTATTATAAAATTAATTAATTATTACAATTTGGATTGCTTTCTATTTTTAAAAAAAACCCTAATTCTATATGATTTTTACATTCTAGTCTCTCAGTTAAACGGAGAATAAAAGCTAAAGGGACGTAACTTCAGTTCTGAAGAATGGGCTTAAGCAAAATCAAAGTTAAATAACGTGATAAATAAAATGATTGGTGTTTAGCCTTAAAGCTTCCCATTATTTCTGATTATATAAAATGTAGAATGTGTGTTTCCTGATGCCCTCAAATCAGCCACGCTCTTTTCTTCGGTTGGGGTAAAAGTGTTAATGCATCAGCTTGTTACTTTATTTCTCCGAAGAATCACATGTCACTGAAGTCAGGCTGAACTGCACCAAACCAAAATCATATTTTTATTTCAGGAATAGAAACATCAATACATCCATTGATAGAAAAAGGGAGAGAGAGAGAGAGACTAACACTGTGTCTAATCTACAGGTCTTTATTAACACTGTCATGTTTTCACCCTGGCTTTCTGTCAACATCAGCGGATGATATTTGTGCTAAAAACTCTCATCAGTTAAGCTACACAATGGCCTCTAGTGGCTTTACCTGTCGTTATGGTAACCAGGCTCCATCCATCTCCTTCTCTGGTTCTGGATTCATGGCTACATACCAGTTAGGAGTCACTCAGTGTTTCCTGACTTACGTTCCCTGGATCCTGAAAACGGCGCCGTATGTTCTGGGAGCTTCTGCTGGTTCTCTGGTGGCTGCAGTCATCGTCTGCGAAGTTAGTCCCAGTAAGTGAAACCAGAAATTACACTTAATCGGGGAAACTGTGACGATCTCTTAATCATCACTAACTTACAGCTGTTTGTCTACATATAAATGTCTTCATTCAAGTGAAAAAAAATAATTTTACCTGAGATTTTTATTCTCCCTGTTTCAGTTGCATGCAAAAAAAACCATCATCATTTCATTTAAAATCCTGTGAGACCAAATCTTACAAACATTCTGAAAAGTGAAAAAAGTTAAGATAAGCCAGATATTGATCAAATGTACTGCACATACTACTTCTGTGTATTTTTAAAAATGTACACAAGACATTTTTTTTTTAAATATTGGTGACAATTTTTTAATCAAAATTATTTCCTTATATTCTTAACAAAACACAAGTTGACATCGTTTAACATTCCAAACTAATAAAGTCTTTCTGTATTTTTTTTTTTTTTATAGTTCTGATCAGAGATGAAATCATTCACCATGCCAAAGAGATAAGGAAAATTCCTCTGGGCCCATTCAGTCCTTCCAGCAACATGTTCCATTGGCTACGGCGGGTTCTGACCAAATATCTTCCTGCCGACGCTCATGTGCTGGCCAATGGTCGGCTGGCCGTGGCCATGACTTGTCTATCTAATGGCAAACATGTGGTTAACACCGAGTATCAGAGCAGACACGAAGTTTTTCAGGTCGGTTTTTTTTGGCTCATTTTACTGACGTGAACAACGAAAACAAAAGATATGTGTTTAATAAGCGGTCCAGGAAACTGTGAAGCAGAGCAGAAATCAACAATCAACGACATTTTCCTAGTTCTTTGATTGACCGCATTTAATGGCACGGACTATTTAGCAAACCTTACCGTACCATAGAACGCTCTAGCCCTGGTGTACAAACATACCGTAATTCTGCTACTTTTTTCCACATGCTTTGAACAATGTGGCTTTAACAATCATGCGGCTAATTTATGGATTTTTGCGGGCTAACGAAGTTCATACCGCTAGTAATCAACGACTTTTCTGGTAGGCTAATGTGTGTTATACTAGTAGCGTATATCTGTCTGTGAATGGCTGTGTGCGTATATGCTCGTGAGGCGCGCGCGCGAGAGAACGGTAGTGAAAGTTGAGAGCAGTTTGAGCCCTGTCGTGTTGAAGTGTGAGTTGGTTATACAGGAGCTGTTAAAACTCTGTTTATGTTCTGTTGTGGTCGGTGGGGCTGATAATAAAGACCCCAACTTCCCTGTTTCTGTTCACCTCTGCTGCGGACAAGAACAAAGTGAAGGGAGTTAGCCCCGGGAGCTAATGTTAGCTTTAGCTCTGGAGCAGATCACTATGTCTCTCCTGTACATTCCAACTACGGTCGGGGCGTCGAAGCAGGAAAGAGCTAACATGTAGCTAGCCGTGTTACAGGCACTGTTCGGAAAAAACAAACAAACATTTATTTAATTAAAAGGGAAACATCTTCCTGTGTAAATATCCCATGTTACATCATGGACACCAGTGGCTTAAAGAAAAGTGTGTAAAATTATTATTTTTGTTTGTTTTTAAATTTAGTAGGGTGCAGTCACCACTGCCCCGTATGTTCAGGTGCGTTCACTACTCCGTAAATTACGGTACAAAGATGTTTTCAATCAAGTTAACTCTAGAAATATTCAGGTTTTGTAGTTAAAATGTTGTTTGTTTATTGGTTAATCATATTGGGAGGTCTGTATTTGTGACTTCAGCAGCTGCCTCTCTTCACAGTAAGGGTTCATATTTGTCTTCTGTATCTAAAAACTCTGTTTGACATACCTGGTTAGACCACTTACCTTCATCTGTTATTTAGGCTCTGCTGTGCAGCTGTTTTGTACCGGGCTACTGCGGTCTCCAACCGCCGTCCTTTAGAGGAGAGGTCAGTATTTTGTCCTTGGACTGAGTCTTTCTGTTATGATGAACTCTACATAACATGACGTGTGTACATGTGTCCCTGTCCTCTCAGTACTACATAGACGGAGGTTTCAGCAGCATGCAGCCTTTTCCTCCGGCACCCTGCAGCAGAGACACACTGACCGTGTCTCCGTTCTCCGGAGACACGGATATCTGTCCTGCAGACTCTCCCTGTCTCTGGGACATGGTGGTGAGTGGCTCGACACTGAAGGGTAACAGGGCCAACAGTGTGAGGATCATCAACGCTCTCTACCCTCTGGGCCTGGAGGTCAGTTGTCATGGCTGTGGATGAATAAGTCACATTCACTCTGATGCTGTCAATGGTGAAATCCACTTTGGTTCTGCTTGTTTCCGTCCAGACCCTGGAACAGGCTTTTGACAGAGGCTACAAAGACACCATTGACTTTTTGCTGCGCAACGGTGGGTTATGGATTCAATAAGGGACTTCATTTTCTGGTGAATACAAGTAAAGCTTTTTATTAGAGCCCGTTCAAAAGAATTTCAATTCTTAGTTGAATTTCAATAGATAGTTGTTGCTATTCCTGTCTCGAATTGTCTATGGGCTATATAGTAAGAGGTCTGGGATTAAAGAATATAAATTAATAATAATAATATATATGTATTATATATTCCTAAATATGATTAAAAAAAATATAATTTTTTTCTGTATTTTTCTGAAGCAGAAAGATAACAGCAGGTCAATGAATGTGTTTCACCCTATTTTTTTTTATTACTAAGCCAAAATGATGGAATTATTAATATGAAAAAAATTATAAATATAAATATAAATATACAAAAGTACAATAGACACCCCTGGACTACCTAAGGCGCTCGTGGGGTATGTTCTTAAAATAAAACTAGTCAACGAGAGGGTCAAAAATTGCACTGTTACTGTGCTTTTTGAATCAGTTATGATTAGTAATGATATTCAAATGGGTGCAGTGACGATGGTAAGAAGAGCGT